ATTTCTCGCTCGTGGAACTCACTTCCGGTTTCTAGCTTTGTCGTCTCAATCGTTATCATGTTATCCTAATTCTTCATCTATTATTGTTCTCTCTTCTTAATAATCCTTTCTTTTTTCTCATATTCTCTTCCATTCAGTAACCCCCTTGCATCTTATTGGCTTTATTGCCTCTCTTGGTGTGAAATGATTAAAAAAAAATATTCCTTATGTAGGCTACTCGATTTTTCCCTCAGCCACTTATCCTTTCAATACGACTTGTGAGTATCAAATTCTCCCTCCCAGCCCTCCTTCCTCATTATGCGTCAAAGAAATGTCTACTGCCTCTTTCTGATTCGCATACAAGTGTCCTTTTTATTTTCATTTTATAAACTCCTTCGTTCCTCAATTTTTCAGTCTTTGTTTGTAGTTAACTTGAAGTAGTATTTTAAGTTCAACTGTTTAATAGTCAAAGTACAATACAGTCCCAGTTCAAAGCAAGACAAACTGTTTAATAGTCAAAGTACAATACAGTCCAAGTTCAAAACAAGTCAAACTGTTTAATAGTCAAAGTAGAATACAGTCCAAGTTCAAAGCAAGTCAAATAGTTTAATAGTCAAAGTACAATACAGTCCAAGTTCAAAGCAAGTCAAACTGTTTAATAGTCAAAATACAATACAGTCCAAATTCAAAGCAAGACAAACTGTTTAATAGTCAAAGTACAATACAGTCCAAGTTCAAAGCAAGACAAACTGTTTAATAGTCAAAGTACAATACAGTCCAAGTTCAAAGCAAGACAAACTGTTTGATAACCAAAAACACTGTAAAATCCAAGTGGAATGAAGAAGAAAATGTTGCAATCAAGAATCCAACGACCAATATCAAGAAATCCCAGCACTCATCCTTCCGCTATCAATTCCCTGCGCTCTTCAAAGCTTCCGATTAAAGAAAAAAATCTGCATTCCGAAAAAAAACTTGTTCTTCATTTAGATCAGTTACAAGCTGGTGCATACAAATCACCAAATTTTTTTTTTTTTAATCTTTGTCTCAAACATGCGCCATGACGGAATTACAAATGGCGACCATGACCTCCCCTTGGTCTCACTTCCCTACATTGGTATTCTCAGCAACCTTCTGTAGAAAATCTCTGCTTTCTCAAGTTCATCTCAAATTAAATTACTGGTATTTGTACATTTATAGGTCTGCTATTTGTCCATGTTTAGAATATTGCTGTCACATATGGTATTGTGTTTCTGTAATGTATTTAAAGATTCTTGATAAATACAAAGAATCTGCAATATTATTGGTCTTGACCTAGTATCTCGATTTCAACCACTTCCCACCGCTTTAATGTAACTTTCCTGTGCCTTTTTTTATAAAACTTAGTAATTGTTCTGATGAGCGTCCCTCCTTGGTGCTCAGATTCTATGAATTTAAACGTACAACTAGACTGGCGGCAAGGTCTCATCAGTTTACATTTATAGAAAGAAAGAAAGAAAGAGGCTGACAAACAAAGAAAGAAAGACAGAAAGAAAGAAAGACAAATGCTGACATAGATAGATAGATAGATAGATAGATAGATAGATAGATAGATAGAAAGAAAGAGGCTGACAAAGAAAGGAAGAAAGAGGCTGACATAGATACATAGAAAGAAAGAAAGAAAGAAAAAAAGAAAGGAGAAAGCGGCTGACATAGATATATATCTAGATAGAAAGAAAGCGGCTGACATAGATAGATAGATAGATAGATAGAAAGAAAGAAAGAAAGAAAGAAAGAAGCTGACAGAAAGGAAGAAGGAAAGAGGCTGTCATAAACAGATATCTAGATAGAAAGAAAGAAAGAGGCTGACATAGATAGAAAGAAAGAAAGAAAGAAAGAAAGAAAGAGGCTGACGTAGATATCTAGATAGAAAGAAAGAAAGCGGCTGACAAAGATAGATAGATAGATAGATAAATAGAAAGAACGAAAGAAAGAAAGAGGAAAGAAAGAAAGAAAGAGGCTGACATAGATAGATAGATATCTAGAAAGAAAGAAAGAAAGAAAGAGACTAACAAAGAAAGAAAGATGCTGACATAGATACATAGAAAGAAATAAAGAAAGAAAGAAAGAAAGAAAGAAAATATGGTATTTTTTTAACACGCCTTGTCCCTTCAGAACGTTTACGATCATGCTTCTCCCTTATGTCCTGTGAGTTTCAAATACTACAAGACCTTTTTTCTACATTATGTGCCTCAGAAATGTCAAGTGTCCCTTTTTGATTCGAAAATAAAAGTGTCCCTTTTGTCGCCTTTTGTAGAATTATACGTCTGTTGGCTCAAATCTTATCTTCATGTGAGAAAATTGTCCAGCATTCACTCCCTTATAGAAGGATTGACATTATATAGCAAAATTAGGACTCTCTCTCTCTCTCTTTTTTTTTTTTCTCTGACAAATTGTTCCTGTTACTTAACATTTTGTTTATTTTCGGAAGGCGTCTAGCCGCCCGAGCAGACGGGTGTGACCTGAAAACCAATAGCCTGCCATTGTATGCTTGATTTTATAATTGAATTTAATTAAAGGTTTGTAGCGAAGAGGCGCTATAATTGATGTTGGACGTGCTTGCTATCGGTCAATAGATTGTAGCAGAAGGTGTTGCAACTTGTTACCGCAAAGATCGAAACCATTCAATGAAACTGATTTCAATATTTTCAAAAGAAATGAATTTCAACACGTGGAAGAGTTTCATACATATTCTTTTTACTTATAAATATATATATATATATATATATATATATATATATATATATATATATATATATATATATATATATATATATATATATAAACGATATATACATTTTTATATAGGTACCTCCAAGAGATCGCTAAAAAAAAGTGCATGAAAAAAGACGCCAAACTTGACGAAAACAAAATTTTATCGTCTAAATATTTATGTTATTATTAAGAGGAAATATCAAAATATTTTGGGGCTATTTTTTATATTTTCTAATCGTTCCTATCACGTTCGAAATTTTCGTTAAAAATCTTGTTTTTTTTTTTTTAGTCAGCAAAATTGACCATTTTTTTTCCATTCTATAAAAAAACTGGAAATCTCACTTTGAAATTCTTTTAAATACCAATAATCATTTTTTCAAAACTTATTTTAAGAAAATCAGAAATTATATTGTTTATTTAAAATATTTTGAACCAAGCTTAACTTAGCTTCTGCGCCGAAAAGATGTAATTTAAAAATTAAATCAAAGCAGGTCATATACTTTCGCGTCACTTGACAGGTGATGAATGGCATATTGACGGATTCCGTGAGGATAATTTGTTCTACGGAAGGAGAAAAGTGAAATAATTTACATTTAAGTGAACAAATTATTAACTCGTTATTATTAAGGAAAACTTTCAGCGCTCTAATTTTTTTTTTGTACTTAGCTTTCACCTTTACGTTTACGATGCTTTATGGAAAATATATTATAAAGAAATTAAAATAAGACTGTTAAGAGTAAGATTAAATTTAATATTTCATAAGAAAGGTATCTAATTAATTTATCGGTACCTTTCTTATGAAATTTTATCAGAAGTGTACATAGAATACTATAATTTTATGTATATTTATTACATTTTACTGTGTTATTTGTATTTCCATTCATTTTATTATTAATTTTGATATTTCATTTATGAAAAAATGTCATAACTGAGATTAATATGAAAATAAGATCATATAAATTTCATAAGATGATACTGATACTTGTAGGTATCCTTCTGTCACTGAATCTAACTAACGCCTTTATCCACTGTGCCGTGAGTTCTTGAAAGGACCCAGAGAGTGTGAGTTCAATACCCGGTTAAGGCAGTGGAGAACTTGAAGAGGAGAATTAAGAGGAGATAACTGACAACTGACATCCATTAAACATGGCACGTGGAACTAGAACAGTCTACACCAGTGAGCGAAATAAAGGTTCAGTTCGACATTCCAATCACATGAAGAAGGCCGGAGCGTACAATGGCCAAAACGTTGTAATAAATATGGCGACCAAAATCAGGACAATAGTCCGAATAATGTTGATAGTGTAATTAAAGTAGTTTTTTTTTTAAATCAAAATTATCGTCGAACTCATTACAGAGAGCAACAATTGCTTTAAGTGTATTGTATTGTAAAAGATCCTTTTTGTGTTTATACAAACGTTTATTTAAATTTCTTGAGGTTTCTCCTAAGTATATTTTGTGGCAATTATTATAGGTAATAGATTAAATTACTCCTTCAATTTTTGTAAAAGATCCTTCTTGTGTTTATACAAACGTTTATTTAAATATCTTAAGGTTTCTCCTAAGTATATTTTGTGGCAATTATTACAGGTAATAGATTGAATTACTCCTTCAAGTAAATTTGTAAATTTACCTTCAGGTTCTTACAACATATAGAGTCCGCCAAAAAATGTCTACACACTTCAGGAAAGAGAAAAACTTGTCTTTCATAGTTTTATTAAACTGTGATAACACTGTTTACTGTGGGACGATATTTTCGCGACAGATGGCATTGCATTGGCGGCCCTGATGCAAGAAATTGAAAATGCATGTGCAGCAATCCCACTGGATATTTTGGCCGCCGTTGCTCAAGCAGTAGTTTTGCTGCACTAATAAATGTCTAGAAGCTAAAGATCACTGTTTTGAGCATCTCTTCTGATTGTAGATACTAAAGATAACAAAGCGAGACATCTGGCGATGTCTGAATAAATTTAGTACCACAGTACCTATATCTTTTTTTCTTTCCTGAAGTGTGTACCCATTTTGGTGGTGGATTCTTTATTTAAACTTGAAAAATGTAATTTAAATTTAAAACTGTCAGTACCCCCTCTCCTTCGCGCGCATGTGTAATCGCATCAACTTAGATATCACTTTAGTCTGATGAAGTCCTAAAGAACAAAACGCGTCACACGATTCGTTTCCATAAAAAAAACCCAAAAAAAACAAAAAAAAAAAAAAAGAAACGGTATAACTCGCAAAAGGAAAGAATGCTAAATAATATTTACTTATATATGGATAGGCAGGGTCATAAAAAGAAATGAAAGAAAAATTATACGAATAACAATAGTGGGTGTGTGACGTCTACGTTGTTTGTTTGAAATTCCGTAGTCATTTTGCCGAGCGACTTAGTCTCTCTGGAATAGGAAGACATCATATGTCTTCTGCCTACCACGTCCTGGAGCATAAACAAAAGAAAGAAAGATTACTTCTTTCATAGTTCTGAAAAACAAAAACGACACTGTACTGTAGTGATTATCACACCTTGTCTGTTTTTATTCAAATATAGTCGACTCAGCTTTTGTTTACATTTTCTGCTACGCTGGAATATGAGTTAATCCAAATATTCCCGTATTGTTTTTCACGGCTTATCAACCCTTTGTGGATTATTTATAGCCGAAATATATTTTGGTTTATAAGAATAATTATTTTATTGGAAGCCAATGTTGCATTAACAGTTGTTTGAGAATAAAAACGATTTTTTTCTTCCAGAGACAACCCCTGCTATTTAACCCATAGTGGAGGAGATAAACCTATTTTAGGACCGACTTAGTACAAATACAAGCCTCCACTGTGAAACTACTCTACAACACCCTGCTATTTAAGCCATAGTGGAGGAGGTAAACTTTTTTTTACAGTTTATCAACACTTTCTGGGTTATTTAAAGACAAAATATATTTCCGATTGTAAGGAGTTCGCCTACAGTGTCCCCTAAGCGGTCCCCCAATCTAAGTACTAACTTGGCTCAGCGTTGCTTAACTTTGGTGGTCTGAAGGAGAACCGGTGTTTTATGTCGAAGGAGATGGATTCATAACTTTCCTAAAGCTACTTGTGCGTGAGCGAGTGCAATCAAATAGGCCTGGAAAACCTATAGCAGACATATACACAGTGTGGAACGGTTCCATGAAAAATGCTTGCGCCAGATGCAGAAAGGACACTGAAGATCAAGAAAAATCGATGATGTCTCAAGCAAGCATTTTCTAACTACGAGCCCATGGTCAGAAATCGGAAGCTGAGATGGATTGGTCACTTCGTACGCTTAGAGGACAGCCGACTTCGTAAAATAAGTGCGGAAAACGTCATGCAGTGCGATGCACTTGCGAAGGTCAACAGAGACACGAGCTTTTGGGAACATCTTGCGTCTCTGAAATGTCTACGTGGAGGACACTGCTAACGAGTGGTATTAACGACATCGCATCCTGCCGGAGGGCGCATATTCTCTATTTAGTATTCTCGAATACGCAGGCCATTAGAAAAAATAAACACGTTTTTTTTAAAAAAAAAAAAAAGAAGCGTTCTATGCAAATACGGATATCTCATAAAAAAAACTTTTTAAGGAATAAAAATAGTCAAATTAAAAATCCATTATTCTATATATATATATATATATGTGTGTGTGTGTGTGTGTGAAAAATATATAAAAATAGGAAAGAACTCAAAATAAAATTCGCTTGAAGATGGAACACAGCTTAGTACTTTAATTCAATTTAATTCAAGTAATTATATTGACGTTTTCGGCTCTTGTTTTGAAACATGAGAACTCTTATGTAGCGTGTTGGAATCATATTTTTAAATAAATAATATATATATATATATATATATATATTATAATTTTATCATATAGACAAAATCATTTTACTCACTACAATGATTGCAACTTGGTTTCAGTGCATTTCATCTGCACTTCGACAGGTAAGAATCGAAAATGGTTATGAAAAATCCTGCTTGTAGGCAAGCCGTATGTGAAACGTCACTTCCTTTTTTCCATTTGCTTGACGGGGTGAAACAATAGTGCGTTTTGATAGCAGTTTGGTGAAGAATGGATTGGGTGTTTAATGTTGACTGGACTGTGGAAATTTTTTTGCCGATAAACACCGCTCAAAAGTTTAGGCACATCACCTCACAAGCGTCCTAAGAGTGAGAGGTGGGAGAGGAAAGATGAAGATAGGGGATAGTATTACATTTGAGTAGTGTTATAGGACCTTACTCATCATAACATAATGGACTATTCCATACGTAATAAATACTGCGCCTCAAGAGGAAGCAGGGAGTTCAGTCCGAAGTCGGGTGACCGGCTGACCGGCTGATCGGTTGTACTCTCTGCCTTCGGGCTGGGAGGAACCCGAATGAGGCTACGCCGAAGGGCGGAGTCTCTTTCGGGGAGGTAAACCGACGGGTTCAAATGGCATATTTTTGGCCGAGCCCACGGGCACGGAGATCCCACGTTAAACCGGTCTTGTGCAGCATAATGCCCTCGTGGGAGTGGGGTGACTAAATACTGTTCAGTCTGAAGTCTGGAGTGAGGTCCGTCAGGAGTCTGTCAGTCAGAGCGAGCGAGTCAGTCAGTCGAGTCAGAGGCAGTCCGAAACAGAGTCGCGTTCAGACAATTACTGCTAAACCCGATTGTTCGTACTCACACTTTCCTACCTCTCTGTATATATTCCTGTTTGTAATATATCTGTGTTATTCCATATCCGTGTTCGAGTTCTTCTGTATTGGTTCTACCTTGGACCATCACCGTGGTACAAGGACCTGGACCATAACAAGTAGGTAAAAATTATAGCGATAGTTCAGGCGTACGTGCGGATCTTGGTCTTCCTCGATCCCTAATTTGTGTTGCCACGGATCCCGTCTCTGCAACACGATGATAAACAATAGTAAAGGTTTGATGACTCGGCTGCCTTCGATCTTTATCCACTGTGCCATGTGTCCTTGACAGGACCCAAAGAGTGTGAGTTCAATAGCCGGTTAAGGCAGTGGAGAACTTGGAGAGGGAAATTAAAAGGAGATAACTGTCAACTGACATCCATTAAACATGCCATGTGGAACAGGAACAGTCTACCCCAGTGAGCGAAATAAAGGGTTCAGTTCGACATTTCAGCCACCTAAAGAAGACCGGAGCGTACAATGGCCGAAACGTTGTAATAAATATGGCGACCAAAATCAGGTCCGAATAATGTAAATAGTGTAATTAAAACAGCTTTTTTAGAATCAAAATTATCGTCTAACTCATTACAGAGAGCAACGCGATGATAAACAATAGCAAAGGTTTGGTGACTCGGCTGCCTTCCATCAGGAAACGAAATCTGGAAGAACATATGGACCTACCAGACAGTCACCTACAATTCCAGCCCACACATTAATTGTAAACTGATGCTTGTATCTAGCCTGTATTGTACTATGTGCATTCCGATCCGCCAACGAATTTTGGTTATGCAAATTTGTTTATTCCATCTCTTCCAAATGTTGCCTGATCCGTAAACAAGGCTGAGGAGAAAAACAAGGGATCGGCAGTTTGTGCAATAAACCATTGGCAAAAGTTCTCCTGCGCTGAGTGATCAGAGGGCGAAAGACACTGTACAAATGATACAAATACAGAAGTAGTTAAAGTACACTGCATGCGGTCTAATGAGATATACGACATGCTTAGGCCACTTGACATGTGCTGATAGATGGATCGTCTCTGATTTCTTGTAGAATGTGTCAAGGATACTGTCTCAGCAGTCCGACGATAAACAGCCCTATAGACTGGATGACTTGGCTGCCTTCGGTCTGGAACATAATCTGATACAGCCGTGCAGCCTCGCGTCTATTACCATTCGCGCAGCCGTATGTAAAAATTATATCTGCAGATAAAAATCCAAAGGATTGAGGTCGGGGTAACGTGCAGGCCATGGAACCATTCCTCACCTATCTATCCATCTTTCATGGTAGATGTTATAGTGTGTATCGTGAACACTGTGATTGAAACGCGCTGAATTCCCTTTTTTTTTCGCATTAGCAGGAAATATGGCACCTGACGACAGCTTATGTAAGATGTGCTGGGGTAGCATATGGACCTACCAGACAGTCACCTATAATTCGAGCTCATACATTAATTGTTAACTGATACTGGTGTCTAGCCTGTATTGTGCCATGGCGATTCCAATCCGCTTTCAAATTTTAGTTGTTTAAATTTGTCATTCCATCTCTTCCAAATGTTGCCTCATCCGTAAACAAGACTGAAGAGACAAACAACGGATCGCTGAGTGATCAGAGGGCGAAAGATACTGTACACGTTGTAAATGATACAAATGCATTGTTGGTTGTAGCATTCATACTCTAAGCAGGGAAGATTCAAATGCAAATCTATTGTGATGCTGGCAATCGGGCATGTAAAATTTATAACCTATTCTACTCTTCCATGTTAATGGTTTTCAGAAATTAAAACTGGTATGCTCATTTTCTCTTGTTAAACAGAATAAACGTTTCAACTCCTTAGATAAGTTGTTTTAATTTCCATGATTTAAATATTCAGTTCGGAGCTGAGTAGAATATATTTTCAATTACTCCCAAATTGTATTGAATGCATTCGCAGGCACCCATGACATCTTGATGAAGCGTGTCTGCATTATTAATATGTGCTGCATTACCTAACAGTTTTAGGAGGCCTTAGAGATAAAAATCCAAAGGATTGAGGTCGGGGTAACGTGCAATCCATGGAACCATTCCTCATCTATCTATCCATCTTTCGTGCTAGATGTTAGAGAGTGCACCGTGAACAATGTGATTGAAACGTGCTGAAGCCCCCCATCATGAATGAACCACATGCGTCTTCGCAATAGCTGGAAATATGTAACCTGAAGACAGCTCATGAAAGATGTGCTGGAGTAGCATATGGACCTACCAGACAGTCACCTACAATTCCAGCCCACACATTAATTGTAAACTGATACTGGTATCTAGCCTGTATTGTGCCATGGCGATTCCAATCCGCTCTCAAATTTTAGTTGTTTAAATTTGTCATTCCATCTCTTCCAAATGTTGCCTGATCCGTAAACAGGACTGAGGAGAAAAAACAACGGATCGGCAGTTTGTGCAAGAAACGATCGGCAGAAGTTCTCCCGCGGTGAGTGATCAAAGGGCGAACGACCCCTGCATACGTTGCCACCGATACGGCTTCATGAGCTACTCTTGAAGTACCTTCCATGCTTTACTTTGATATGTACGACATTCTAGGACCACTTGACGTGCGCTGATACCTGGACCGTCTCCGACAGCCTGTGGAATGGGTTCTTCGTTGTCAGGCGTACGAGCGGATCTCGTTCTTCCTCGGTCCATAGTTTGTGGTGCCATGGGTCCAGTCCCAGCAACACGATGATAAACAATAGCAAAAGGTTTGATGACTCGGCTGCCTACAATAGCCATGCAAACTCGCGTCCATTAACATCCGCGCGGCTGTATGTGAAAACCACATCTGCCTGTTCATGATAGAAATTTTCTGCCATTATTAAACGAAATACTTCTCATTTATGTGCCATGCGTGATACATGCTTATGCGATCATGTATCTTTCGATACATGACTGACGAGGCATATGCTTTCCCGAAGTAGGTTGCCATTTCTTTCCGCGGTAGACCAGTTGCCATCCAAGGCTATAGAACCCGGTCTGTCCTGCTATTTACCCATAGCTGGGAGAAGAAGAGGATTCATACTTTTCCCAAGGGTATTAGCACGTAAGTGAATGGATTCGACTGGAATTCGAACGCGGCTCTCCGATCCCTTAAGCCGCGGCGCTCTCCATTATATTTCCTTACTAAACGTTAAATGTTGAAATCAGACTAGCTACAAATATACACCAATGACAAATGTAACGTTGTCTACATGGCATCTACCTAAATTTTCTTTAAATTTAATTACTCAAAATAAAGGATTTACGCATATATATATATATATATATATATATATATATATATATATATATATATATATATATATATACTTTTGTCCTTACTTTGGTATGAGGAACCCGCCTCCAAAGTATTTTGGATACACTATGTATGTGTGTGTGTGTGTGTGTGTGAGGAACATACGGAGACTCTCTTTTCTCAAGAGCAGATTTGGTAAACCAACTAGTGCTGGAGAGACGATTTGGTATCATGTCCACCACAGCATATCTGCCCTACATGTCGCTTTGTGCGTAAATGAATTGGTCGTTTGACCAGCCATTCCAAGATGAGCACTTCAAGTGTTATGTACGCAAACGATCATGGACAACTGAGGCAGGGCTGTAGTGTTACATATGTGCACATTCTCGTGTAGTAATCAGTGTCTAATTTGGTTCGTTTTGTTTTGTTTTACGTGATATATCCCGGAAAGGGATATATTTGATCGAAGTAGCTAAGTGGGTTTGGCTACTGTAACCAAGTAGTACACGGTAGCAGTAATCGACCGGTACTCGTCGTAGTCGCAGGTAATAGGTGTAGTCCAATGGGCGTCGTCATAGAATTAAACTCTGTCGTACTTACACGTCCATCTGTATTTATGACGGACACCAGCCAATCATATTCCAATGAGGGGGAACTCAGGTGTATGCATATTCCATTATATCATTACGGCATATCAACCTCAATGGGTTATTTAATGCCGACAATTTTTTTTTATTTTTGGTAATATATTTTCCTTCAAAAATCTATTTCTGGTAATATTTTTTCTTTCAAAAGAAGCTGGTAATATTTTTTCCAAAAGATCTATAGCTGGTAATATTTTTTTCAAAAGATCTATAGCTGGTAATATATTTTTTCAAAAATATGTATAGCTGGTAATATTTTTTTTTTTTTTTTACAAAATTGTATTGCTGGTAATAAGTATTTTACAAAAATGTTTTGCTGGTATTAAATCCTATTTTTACACATTTTGACCCCAGTTTGGATTTAACTATTTTCCCATAGCTGGGATCCTAACAAGTGCTCCCACCCAGGGTCAGGGTGGACCTAGGAACATCAGCAAATAAGAGGTGCTTCCACGTTCCTCAAAACCTTCTGATCGGAGGCCGTGCTGTCAGATGTAGTTTATCATCTTACCCAGGACGCGGATTAGTGGTAATCAGGGACAAGATGGCTTTCATTTGACTTGTGGGATTTTTTACATTTAAATCTCTATATGAGAGTAATAGTTGGCTGTTGACTGAGATAATCGAAACAGTTCCATTGTCATACGTTTCGTACATCGAAGACTCTGAAGGAGTGTCGTTTCAAATAAGAAATAAATAAGGTTTCATGTCGTAAAATTGCCATATTTAATAATGAAATCTACTAGCGGGATAGACATGCGAGAAGTTATCAAAAATTAATCAGTTCCCTGTTTTGCCCTGTTTCGCCCGACTTAGTACCAAACACCTGCCGCTTACCGATACTTTTACTAGAGCCAAACCAGATCATAAAAAAGTGTACTATTGTCATATATGGTCAGGAGCTGCCCTGTCTTCACTTTCAAAACCCATTCCTACACAATCTACCCTATTGCTATTGCCATGGAAAAATGTTCAGAAGAACTACATTCTTTAGTCCTACCCGTTCTAACCTTCAAGACTAAAATCTTCGCCTTCTATTGGTGAGATGCAAGTTCCACTGGAACAGCGTCTTTTCACGAACAGCTTCCCTGATCACTATAATCTTAACTTGTTCAGCTACAGTCAACCGTTATCTTCCTGACATATTCGCATAATATCCGCAGAATATACATATTATGTAACACTCTACCTCGAGTGTCTCTTGGACCTTGTTCAGGGTGAACATCATTATAAAAAATATATAAATATAACACACACAAATACATATATATGTTAATGTTTTGGTTATGTAGCAACTTGAGGTGTTGGGAAAGACTATCCCAACACCTAAAGTTGCTACGAAACCAAAACAAAAATATAAGCACTCAAGTCATGATCTTAAATAACTTCGTCGAATAGAAACTTTAATATCGATATCTTGTATGTAACTCTCTGCCTCGAGTGGCTCTTGGGCCTCGTACAGGGTGAAAGGTGGAGGCGGGGATTATGGAATCAGATAGCCGAGTTGGAATTCCAGTCGAATCCATTACATTCACTTACGTGCTAATACCATTGGGAAAGGTATGAATCCTCTTCTTCTCCCCCCCAGCTATGGGTAAATAGCAGGACTGACAGGGTTCTGTAGCCTTGGATGGCAACTGGTCTACCGCAGAAAGAATGGCAACCTACTGAGAAAAAAAATATGCCTCGTCAGTCATGTATCGAAATATACATGATCGCCTAAGCGTGTGCCACGCATGGCACATAACTGACTGACAGGGTGAACATCATTGTAAAAAAAGTCTCCAATTTCGAAAGCTGACGCTACACAATCACCGTTCAATAAGTCAGCTAAAGGAAAGTAATGATATTTCTTAAATTTCAAGCACATTAAATACATATAAGAAAACAGATTTTTGCTGGAAACTTTTACACAGACCAAAATTTAAAAGGCAGATTTGGACCATCATTTTCTGCTCTAAATAAACTGAGAAAATGAAGTTCGAATAGGTTATGGCGAGAAGGGATGCGATTAGACCCCATTACTACTTCGAATAAAAAGAGGGAAGGTATTGGCGTGATGTTAATATAAATAAATGTTTATGCTAAATTTACATTAGGCAGCGCTAGTCCAGAAGTTATTTGTGTAACGTGCAAATATAAAAGTAAATAACAATTTTAAGTTTAGTGAGAAAAAAATGATTGGGAAACACTAATTGCTTGTGTAGTCCGATACACACTGGGATGACAAATATTGCTCCTTAAAATGTTCAAATATTTGTGAGGTTGGTCGATAAACTGGCAAATAGGATGGAATAGAAAGAGATTACAGTAGATAGATAGATAGATAGATAGATAGATAGATAGATAGATAGATAGATAGAAAGAAAGAAACAGGGCTAGATAGATAGATAGATAGATAGATAGATAGATAGATAGATAGATAGATAGATTGAAGAAACAAAGAAACGGTGCTAGATAGATAGATAGATAGATAGATAGATAGATAGATAGATAGATAGAATGAAGAAAAAAGAAAGAAAGAAACAGTGATAGATAGATAGATAGATAGATAGATAGATAGATAGATACATAGATAGATAGATAGAAGAAACAAAGAAACGGTGCTAGATAGATAGATAGATAGATAGATAGATAGATAGATAGAATGAAGAAAAAAGAAAGAAAGAAACAGTGATAGATAGATAGATAGATAGATAGATAGATAGATAGATAGATAGATAGACCAAAGAAAGAAAGAAAGAAAGAAAGAAAGAAAGATGGAAAGAAAGAAAGAAAGAAAGATGGAAAGAAACGATGCTTGACAGATAGATAGATAGATAGATAGATAGATAGATAGATAGATAGATAGATGAAAGAAAGACATAAAGAAAGAAAGAAGGAAAGAGACGGTGACAGATAGATAGATAGATAGATAGATAGATAGATAGATAGATAGATAGATAGATAGATAGATGAAAGAAAGAAAGAAGGAAGGAAAAAACGATCGATCGATAGATAGATAGATAGATAGAGAGACTGAAGAATGAAGGAAAAAATAAACGGTGCTAAAAAGAAAGAAAGAAAGAAAGAAATAAAGAAAGAAAAAAGAATGAAAGAAAGAAAAGAAAAGAAACGGTGCTAGAAAGAAAGAAAGAAAGAAAGAAAGGAAAGAAAGAAATGGTGCCAGCTAGCTAGATAGACAGAAAAAAGAAAGAAAGAAAGAAAGAAAGAAAGAAAGAAAGAAAGGAAAAGAAACTATGATAGATAGATAGATAGATAGATAGATAGATAGATAGATAGATAGATCTCAATAGGAAACATAATGCCTCTTCTAAATATTTTAGCATAAAATTCCTTCGGCCTCTGACATCAAGACGTGCCACTGTTTCTATGACTATGTAAAATGGTTCTCCGCGCAGCAAGATACAAAATGATTCATTTTTCTTCACTCTTTCTTATTTTAAACCAAAGGTAAATAGAGTTTGCAATGAATAAACTTGATACATAGTTGTAAATGGCGCAGCCACTCGAATCCGAGGATACCAATCTATTAGGGCGGCTAGCTAAATCCCCGGGGTTCAGGCATATTTGTTTGTTCAACACCCGCTCAGCCCAACTCTGGTTTTAAACTCTATGCTAAGCTGACCTGAGAGCGCGTAATTTAGCGTAATAAACAGTCTGAAGAAGCACGTTCAAACCCTC